GCCCTATCCAAACATCCTAAATAAAATCTAACATTGGTGTTTTACTAATTTCATATTTTTTCACTTCTCTTTTCATCATCCAATATGTTTGTTGTGGATGGAAGCCTTTCATATAACTATAAATTTTTAAACACAGATGGTGTGGTGATTTGAATGAGTGTCGCTGGCTCACGTAGGTTCATGTATTCAAATGCTTGGTTCCCATTTGGTGGAAGAATTAGGTTTTGTTGGAAGAGGTATGTGACTAGGGGAAGTGCTTTTGAAGTTTTAAAAGCCCAATCCATTCCTAGTTAGCACCGCTCCCCACAACCCTCAACAGATGATAGATAGATCCAAAGATAGATAGATAGAAGATAGATAGATAGATAGATAGATAGATAGATAGATAGATAGATAGAGACGTGAGATGGATATGATCTACATGCCTCGTGTTTGTAGAGCAAGACGTAAGCTCTCACCTTCTTGTACAGCACCATGCTTGATTGCCTTCTCTTGTGCTCCCCACCTAGGTCATGGACTCTAACCCTCTGAAACCGCAAGCCCCAAATAAAATCCTTTCTTCTATAAATTGCCTTGATAATGTCATATCTCTTCAATAAAAGGTAAATAGGATAGGTGGCATGCATGTATACATAATTATATCCAAAATCATCCAGAATCATAGCACACAGAGATAAGAATGATTTTCCTTTTAGATAATTTAGGTTTTGCTCTATATACCATTGGGTACATTACATTTTTAATTCAGCATTTTAAGGTCCAGAATATTGTTTTGTTGTATTGCTAAATTTTATTCATTCATTATCATCCTTTGAACATTTAGGTTATTTCTAAGGCTTTGCTATTGATTTGTAGTGCATCCAAATTTTTTTAATGGAACATAATAGTTCACAGTTTAGAACTTGTGTGTGTGTGTGTGTGTGTGTGTGTGTTATACATACATGTGTGTTGTGTAGATTTGTGCCTTCAAGCTCCCATGGTATTCATTTTCCTAACTGAACCACCTCCCTATACCTAGTAAGAAGTAAGAACTTCTTTAAATGTTTTATATTTGTTGATAAATTGCTCATTTTTAAAAGATTTTTAGTTACTGAGTCTGTGGAGTTTTGTGGGATTTTTCAAAAATTTTACTAACTTCTTAGGCCCCTCCAAAAATAAGTATTTCAATAAATAAATAAATAAATAAATAAATAAATAAATAAATAAATAAATATTCCACGGCATTAATATCCAATATCTAATATCTAGACTCAAACGTCTAGACGTTTTCCACATTTATCCTCTTGTATTCTTTCTCAGAACTGCTTTTAACTTTGCCTTGACTGTAAACTCATGCATATTACTATATCACCATCATAGTGCAAAGGAATTTTAATTCAGAATATGGCTGTTCTGGCAATAAATCACATCAAAAGATCTAGGTCTGTGTGATCCAGCTGGAATACAGACATGCCTTTAATCCAGGAGACAGAGGCAAGCAGATCTGAATTCCAGGCCAGCCTGGTATAGAGCAAGTTTCAGGTAAAGAAAAGTTTCAGGCCAGGCTTGGCAGTACAGGCCTTTAATCCCAAACAATGAAGGTAAGTATCAGAAAGAAGTACTTATGTTTGAAAGTGATACCTAACTGAGTGGCAGGAAAGGTGACAAATCAGAGAAAGACTTGGCAGAATAGGAGAGGCTCGGTTCTCACTAGAAGAAAGGGGAAAGGGAAGCTACTGAAGGGACAATGAGAGTAAGAGAGAGAGAGGAACAGTTTTGCGGGAATAGTACTAGAGAGAGAGGTTACAAAGAAATAATTCAGATGAAGACTGAATGAGCCAGAAAATGAGCAGGAGCCAGGAGATTAGAGCAGATTTCTGGAGTTAGTTTGAGGCCAAGCAGAGCAATTAAGGGGCTGAGAGAGAAGCCAGATTGAATAAGTCAGCTGGAAGAGGCGTTTGAGCCAGAACAGCTGAGTTGAACCAGCCAGCCCAGACCTCAGGAAAAAACAAGAAAGGGTGAGCTTGTTAAGCTCTAAAACTCAGAGGCTGAACACATTCTAGTCCTATGTTAGATTAGTGGGAGGCTAGAAGCTTCCAGGACTAGGCCTACGTTAGCAGACAGAGGCAATAAGCCTATGAGACAACAATTGAAACAGGCAAATAAAAGTTTTCTTTACATCGTAGCCTTGTATTATGTTGGACAATCTAACTAGATAAGTCTGGAAATAAGCCTTCACTCTCAGATGCTGCATAACGATTGTTTTCATATGACCTTTAGAATGATTTTGTCAATTTTTCAAGTCCCATTGAGATTTCTATTGGGCTGTCATGGACTGTATGAATTATTTAAAATATACAGTCTTCTTGCCAGGAACAGTTTTTATTTTCTTATGATCTTTTATATGCCTCAGTAAAATGCTAGAACTTTATTCACTGCAAAAAAAAAAAAAAAAAAAAAAAAAAAAAAAAAAAAAAAAAAAAAAACATCAAACTCGGCTTGGAGAGAGCGGTTAAGAACCCTGTTTGCTCTTCCTAGAGGTCCTGAGTTCAATTCCCAGCAACCACATGTTGGCTCACAACCAGGTATACTGGGACCTGATGCCCTCTTCTGGCCTGCAGGTGTACATGCAGGTAGAACACCCATATACCTAAAAAAACAAATAAATCCTTAAAACAAACAAAATGTCAAACTTCATAAAGAAAATAGTTGGGTATTTTACATGTGAAGAATTCTTGTCACGGGGCCACTTCCCGATTGTTTTTACTACATGCTTATTGGTAGTGTTTAGAAAAACTACTGTTTTTTTTTAACTATTTATTCTGTGGCAAAATAAAATTTTGGATACATTTTTCTCTTATTTCTAGAAACCTAATCAAATTGTCTATTACTATAATTCTCTTATAGTTTCCAGCAGTTACACATTATTTTATTCCTATGGGTTATTTAAAAGGACTGCAAAAGTGAAAAATAATTTCAATATTAAATATAAGTTTAAGAATATTTTTTTACCACCCATTTGTGTAGACACTTTTAAAACACAGTATGTGTCAATAGGCCTCATGAGCTAGGCTATCCAGCCATGAAGGCATCCTGAAGGCATCTATCAGAGCACCTGTTCTGTCTTGTGGAAAATAATGTTTTAGAAAATATTCCATCACCCACTTGATTATTCTCTAGGCAGCTGCATACATGAGTGCTTGCTGGAATTCATTCACATTGAAATAGAAATTACCTATCAGCACAGCCTATTTATTTTTATAGGCTAAACTTTCAGTAAATATATCCCAAAATTTGAACATAAAAAAACAAATTTGTTGGCTGTGACTGTGGGACCTTATCTCAGTTAGTAGAGTTCATGCTAACCAAGCACAAGGTCCTGGGTTCAATCCCCAGTACTGGTAATAAATAAATGAATAGTATTAACAAGCAAATTTGTTTGGTGGAAAGAGCAGTAAGACTTGGTTTGTGCGACCGTATCTATAGTACGGGTCAGTGAACGAATGTCTAATAGGATGTTCAAAAAATGTCAACATACATAGGAAAGAGGGAAGAAAAAAAAAAACAGTTTTCTAATCAATTTCACCCTGCTGAGAAACTCCTTTATGTTTAAACATTTATTGACTTTCCAGATATTGCCATCAGATTATATGCTATATAGGATTATATTTTTCATTCCCAACAAAGAATCCTCTTGAGGAAATAGCTAATGAAAGCTGAAGCTGCCTCATGCCTTTCTCATTCAGAATTAATATCACCCTGGATCGTCTCACATTCCAAAATCTCCCTAGAAAACCTTTGCCAAGATAACACCCTAACTATTTCCCACTTCTTACATAAAATTCCATTCACTCTGCCCATCAGTTGGCCATCAGGCTCAGCATCTGCTTTGACAGTCTGCACGGCAGAGGCTTTCAGAGGCCCTCTGTAGCAGGTTCCGAGGTTGTTTCCTGTTTTCTTCTGGCTTTCAGAGGCCCTCGGTAGCAGGTTCCTAGGTTGTTTCCTGTTTTCTTTTTTCTTCTGATGCTGGAGAGGACAGGAACTCCACAAGGAGAGCAACAGAACAAGATAATTTGAACACAGGGAACTTCCCAGAGACTCATACTCCAACCAAGGACTATCTGTGGAGGTAACCTAGAACCCTGACAATGCAGCCACTTCTGATGAGAACTGATAGACTAAGATCAGAAAGAAGGAGAGGAGGACCTCCCCTATCAGTGGACTTGGGGAGGGGCATGCATGCAGAAAGGGGGGGAGGGTGGGACCGGGTGGGGAGGAGGGAGAGGTTTATGGGGGAATACAAAATGAATAAAGTGTAATTAATAATAATAATAAAAAAGATAACACCCTAAAATCCAATAATAGCAAAACATATCTGTATGGACAAAAACCTACTCTTCTCAAGGGATCTATTCAGACTTACCAATAACACTTATTGGTAAGTGTTACCAATTACTTATCAATAATATCCCATTAGTTAGTTCATATGTCATCCCTCGTGGTTAACATAAGCTTTTCTTAATCAACAGATGTCAAATTAGTAATTTGTCCCCAAATACATAACTACAGTATATTTCATAAAGCAAAGAATTAGTTATGCAACAATTTTGGTGTACATGTAACAATCAGTGATCATATGAACATTTGATCCCAGATGGGGCAACAGAAAAGACTGAATGGCCATCATGATGATAAATTAACGATGGAAACATGAACCCCTGCCATTTACTGGAAATTTCTGGAATATTCCCTTTTCTCAGACACAAACAGTATTCTATGTCTGTTGATTGATATGAGATGAAAGATAGAAAAGTACTGTCTAGCAAAACAAAACCCAGGATGAATAAGTCATGGAGATCCTTTACCTCCCTGGACAATCAAACCCAGGTGCTGAAAGATTGTGAGGGAGACATGAGCTCTGGTGTTCACGTGACCTACATTGTTTATGGGCAGATGATCCTGCCCACTGAGTAGATTATGTATTTGGCTCATGAAGAAAAGTTGGTCTGTGAGAAGAGGCAATGGATCCTAGCACCCGACTCATGCAGATTATCAAAGAAATGCGGGTAGAAATCAACAGACTAGAGAAAGAGAATCATGACCTCCGGGTGAAGCTGACTTCAATTAGTCAGACAGCCACTAGCTCGGGGAGAGAATCAGGAGATGAAACGGAAGAAGCTGCGTGTGGCCAGTGTCCGGGGACCATTCATGGTGGTGTTCCCGTCGATTCTACACCAGCTGTGCAGGAACAACAAGGTACTGAACATATGTGGCTCTTCTGGGCTATGCTTTCCTTTTCAAGTATCTCCCAAATGATTGGTTTGTTGGGCTTCTCCCGCAATTTCATTATTTGGTACTTGCCATAATGGGTTTCATCCTCTTCTTCCTAGTAGATGAACTTTGAAATCCTAGTCAAAATTTCCTTCAGGTTCTTCAAGGCATATATTTTAACAACAATAAAATGACTTCTGGGGCTACCAGGAACAGATAGGTAGAAATCATTCACATTCAGAACGGATTCTTTTGAGCTTGACTTTAACCATGTAAATTCCACAGTGTGGAACAATGGATGTACATGTTGATTGGTGTGCTCATATGTTAGGCGGGAATAGTGTTTTGAGTGGGTTAGCATAGATCAAAGTCAGACAAACATGGTTCTTGATGGTTTGTTACTCAGCCACTTGACTCTGAGTTCCTTATTGAACGTCTTCAACCTTAACCACCTGGAAGCCCTGCAGTACCCGCCTCTGTGCTGATGATGACTATTTGCAATGGTAAGTAACGCCTGGCAGTGTGCGACAAATGACAGATACTATATCTTATCCCTTTCCTACAGCACACATATATTATAATAACTCGATTATACATATAGTATATATAATACCTCATATATTTAAATGCAAGGTCAATGTTTGGCGTATGTTACCAGTCAGATAGCTCACTTGTCACAGAAGAGACTCGACTTCATAATTACCTGAAATGTCGGAATCAACAGTGAGAAGCATATTCTGCACTTCATTTGTCAGCGCTTGCCTACACCACCATATTCAAACAAAATTGATACACCTAATTAACTACTCATAGCTCTTACTATCATCCATCAAAGCCTTCAGGCAGTGCCAATTAGTGCTTGTGAACAGGTTGACAGTGGAACATGTCAGATCTGAGGATTGGCCTCATTAGAGATGTGTCTTTCTAGTAAAGAAGCAAACCATCTCAAAGCTGCAAGCACATTCCTATCTACATCTGTGCAACTCTGTCTACTGACTAGCTAAGAAAACTACAAAAGAACAACCTATGAGATTATTCCTCCTTATTGGGCAACAGGAAGAAAAGATACGGCTGTTCGTAATCTATCCTTACTACAGAGTTTCTAATTCCATGCAAGGGTGACATTTTGTACTGAATAATCATTCATTATGGAGGTCAGTCTGGATGTTGTAGGATGTTTGGCTCTCTCACAACCAGTTGCTGTAACACACACCTGTTCAACCCATCAGGTTGTCTCCAGCCAGGCATGGTGGCATGTGTCAATAACCTCAGTATGTGAAAGGCTAAAGCAGGAGAATCATGAGTGGGCAGCTAGCCCAGGCTACACAGTGAGTTAAAGGTTAGGTTCTCTTATGGAGTGAGAAACTGTCTCAAAAAAAAAAAAAGAAAGAAAGAAAAGAAAAGAAAAGAAAAACATTGTCTCTGGTGGATACATTTGCCAACACAAGCCACCAACTTGCTCTAAAGGTAGATAGTTCTTCCTCACTCTCTTTTCTATATTGCTCAACCAAATAACGAAGCAACAGGGGTCTTCACAGGGGTGTCTTATTCTAAGATAAGTACTGCACTACTCAAAGCATTGGAAGACGTTACATTAGTAAGCTCTCAATGCACAGTTGGAATTACACTCCTTCGGCATGTAAATAATAACTTCCAGTACCTTAGTACTGAGTTTGAGAAGGACCAGCTGAAATAGATATCATGGAAAGTTAAGAAAATTTTCTAATTTGTTCCAACAAAACACACACACAGTAATGTAAAGGTATCTTTAATCCTTTGATGGGATGTCTTTAAACTATATTTGTCACCAAATGATCAGCCCTGAATACATATATAAAAATGACACTATATGAGCTGAGCAGCTTGTAGCTACTATCATGGCATATATATGTATATAAATATGCATGTACATCATTTACATATACAATGTATGTAACAACAATTAATTTGAAAAAGAGACTATGAATTTTACATGTTAGTAAGAGGACATATATGGGAAGATTTGGAGTAAGGAAAAGGAAGGAGCAAATGATGTAATTATATTATAATCTCAAAAAATTCTTAAGTGATACTTATCTTTTATGTCACATGACTTTTCAGAAGTAAGTGACTCAAGTAGGAAGTCCATGAAACTTACGAGAGCCACAGGGTCATGTCTCCAAGGTTATGTAATCAGTAAGGACCATTGGGGAAAGAGGAATAGTCTAGTTTGTATTTTTTTACTTTGATAAATAACTTTGCCAAAAGCAACCTGGAGAAGAAAAGGTTTATTTGGCTTTCATATTACTGTCCATCTAAGGGAAACCAGGGCAGGAACTCAAGCAGGAACCTGGAGGCAAGAACCAAAGCAGAGACTGTGGAGAAATGCTGCTTCCTGGCTTGCCACCCCTGGGTTGCAAAAATACCTCTCTTCTACAGACCCACCTACCAAGGCATAATGGCCCTGCCCACTGGGGCCTGGGGCCTCCCACATAGTCAACAGTGAAGAAAAAGCCCCAGACATACCCACAGCCAATCTGATAAAAAGCAGTTACTCATGGAGAAGTCTTTTCCCAGGCATGTCTAGGTTTGTGTGAGTTGACACCTGAGGCTGTAAGAAGACTGTTCAGCCTGTCAGGTTGCCTAGTGGTCATGCTAAATGCTATGTCGTTGCAGCTTTCATGATCAATCACTGTCTGGGGTGCGCTTTTCACTCTCACAGCTGCCTTGGAGTCCTATACGTAATCCCAATAAGCGCTTCGGTTCCACAAGATGGACGTTGATAGAACTGTTCATATTTTGCTTTGCTTTGCTTTGCTTTGGTTCCCTGTTAAGGGTGAATGGGGACAACTGTTCACATCTCCTTAGGAAAACTCCCACAACAATACATAAAACCCATGACCATATTCTCATCTCTGGCTAAAAGGTTTTTTTTGTTTTGTTTTGTTTTTTTTATCAGATCTAAGTTTCTGGTGAAATACGTATGGTCTTTTAAGAATAGAATAATATCATCTACCACAGAAATAAATTGGCTTTTATATAATATAAACAAATAAAATTGTGTCATTTTCAGGAAATGAATGGAACTAGAGATCATTATTTTAAGTGAAATAAGCCAGACTCAGAAAAGCAGATACAAGTGTTTTCTAGAATATGTGGAATTTAGACTTTAAGAAAAATATTTATGTAATATGAAAACAGAAGGGAGACTATTTAGAAAAAGGAAGAGGGTCTGTAGAGAGACAAGGTAATGAGGGTAATGGACAAGTTGAATTCAATACATATGAGCTTATTAAAATCTCATCATGAAACCCATTATTTTGAACAGTGAATATACAAGTTTTAAAATAGCAGGGCTTGCAAAATAGTACCATTGTAAAGTTCTTGCCTTGCACACCTGAGGACCTGAGTTTAAGCCTAAAATCTGGTTGTTGTTGTTTTTTGTTTTTTAAATGCTTTGTATGGTAGAGTGTACCATAAAGTCAGCACTGGAAAGTCTGTGGGGTAATGGATGGGTCTATGAGGCTTGTTGCCCAGCAAGCCTAGCTCACTTGGTGATTTCAGACAACTAAAGAATACTGTCGGGAAAGAAAAAAAGTAAAAAAGGAGAAGAAAGAAAGGAAGGAAGGAACGAATGGACGAATGAAGGAACGAACGAAGGAAGGAAAGATAGCTAGATAGCCAGCATCTGAGGAATAATCTTTTGGCCTCCACAAGTACACATACACACACATAAATACACACATATGCATACACACATACACACATATACGCACATATACATACACACATATACATGCATACATATGTACATATATGCATATACACATACACAAATGAGAACACACACATACACACAAACAGATATATGTAAAAGAGACTTTTATTCTGAAGTAATTGTTGTCTCAGAGGCTTAATGCCTTCGTCTGCTAACTTAGGCCTAGTCCTGGAAGCCTACAAGAATGCAGAGATAAAGATAGAGCAGATAGAGCAGAGAATGAGTAAATACTCAGCCAATACCTGGCCCAAGCAAAGACCCGCACTATGGGAAAGTGCCAACCCCTGACACTATTCAATACTCTGCTAAGCTTGCAGACAGGAACCTGTCAGAGTTGTCCTCTGAAAGACTCTCAGCAGCATCTCAAAACAGATGCTGAGACTCACAACCAAACATTAGGCAATAAGTAGTGAGTCTTTTGGAAATTGGGAAGAAAGAGAAAAGGACAGGAACTCCACAGGAAGACCAACTAACCAGGACCCAGAGGGGCCTGTTGAGATGGAAGCATCAACCAAGGACCAGGCATAAACTGGACCTAGGTCCCCTACAAAGATATAGCAGATGGGCAGCTTAGGCTTCATGTGGGTTCTCTAGTAAAGGAAATAGGGACTGCATAGACACAGACTCACTTGCTAGCTTTTTGATCACTTCTCCCTGGCAGGACTGCTTTGCCAGGCCACAGGGGAAAAGGACATGCTCAGTCCTGATGCAACTTGATATGCTGAGCTGAATGGGAAAGGGAACTCTCCTTTTGTGAGGAATAGGTGAGGGAAAGGGAAGAAAGGTAGGACTGGAAGGGGAGGAGGGATGGGCCTACAAGCAGGATGTAAATAATAAAAAATACAATTTTAAAAATGCAAATAAATAAATGAAAAGAATATAAAACCCAAAACATTTAAGAAAGCAACATCCTCAAAAATAAAATCATACAAAAATACCCTTTGATAACTAAATGACATGAAACAGAAGTATGTTTCTCTCTTGAAGACTGAAACTGTCTCAAACAGCCTGCAAGCAAATCATTTGGAACCACAAGTTCTTCCAGATGTTCTGTGATAGATGCCATGAGAAAAACAAAGGAGAAATTCTGTGAATAGAGTTAGCTTCCCTTTCAAAAGCCTGAGGCTAAGACCTGAGCTACAGCTCAGAGGTGCACCTGTCTGCTGATATAATATGTATATTATATAATGAGACTACAGTGTGCCTACTCAGAGTAAATCCTCCTTAGGTTAAAAACATATTTGTAGAAATATCCGCATTGCATAGTTTTTGGTGGATATGAAATTTAACCGTGACTTTACAGAATGCTCCCCTGTCCTTCCTACGCTGAACAATCTCACCGTATGGCTACTCTGAGTGTATCATTTGCAGTGGGGGAGATACTAAGAAACATCTCATTTCAGGGAACTCCCAGCACTGCAGGGCCCTGATTCTTTCAATATGCTCATATCCTTCACTGGCAAGGAAACTGCATTTGGCAGCTGTGATGCTGTATTGAATATTTCTTCCCTTGTGTTGATAAGAAAGAAGGAATAATTTGTGACCCAGGGAGATGAGCAAAGAGTTTCTTTGGTAATCAGTCCCACATTAAGCTTAGTTTTCAAATAAAACAAATTCAGCTTTTCTGTCATCAGCATAATCTCCCCTGCTGGGTTCCCTAGGACTCAGGATGGGTAGATAAGATTGTTTCCTAATTCTTTCAAACAGAAACTATTATGTTTGTCAATTTTCAAAAACTGGTTGTTACAGAATTGCAGATGGTACACACTACAGCCTCTGGAAGTGCTGAAGGCTAATTTAATAAATAGTTAATCACATCAGATAAATTTGCAAATAACTGTCCCAAACTGCCACCTTAAGTTGCACCTTCTGAGCTTCTAAGATATGAAAAACCAGAATAACCTCCGCTTATTGCAATGGCCTAACCCTTTCTTCTCTCCTGCAATGAGAGGCGGCAAATCTGAATAAATCATGGTAGTTCCGGTAGTTCTGCAAACATAATTATGTGGATAGCTTTTATCACATCTCTGTGCTAGCTAATAACAGAGTTAGTTATACAAAGCGACATAAAAATTCGATGAGCAGAAAGCGCCTGAAATGATGAAAATCAACCCATGAGTCAAGTTGTCCTCATAGATGACAACAATACCATAGCAGAGGGCAAATGATCCACCTCAAGTCACGTGGAGTTCAGAGGGATCCCGAGAAATCAAGATCGCCTGAAATAATTTTTTTTTTTAACCAAAGTTCTCAATTTTGCAAGAAAGGGTGAAAATTTGACTTACTTCTAGGAAGAAATGTCTCAGAAGACATTGATGGACAGAAATTGAATGGCAAGTCCTCCGGAACTGGTAACCCATCCATCAGGAAGAGACACTCATTTGTCCTTATAAAGCACTTTTGCTTTCTTCCAGATTCCCTTGCTTCTATCTCTCAGTAGGCTGTCTCATGATGACCACCTAAAGCCAAGCCATGCAAGTACAGGCCAGTTACCAATCACCAGCTGATTACTGTGGCCATCTAGGTGACCAAGGGAGGTGGATGAACCCATTCTTCCGGAAAGGAGAGCGAGGAGGCCTTTTGAGTCTCTGTTCATATTATATTTAAAATTCATTCTTACTATTTAACTGTATACATTCATGCATCATGATGAATTTTATACAGTTTTACAGAGACAATGCTTAATATTGTCAATGTAATTGTATTTGTATCTCAAGAAACACATTTTTATGGGGAACAGAGCTAAACAGAGAATTCTCAACAGAGGAATATTGAATGGCAGAGAAACACTTAAAGAAATGCTCAACCTCATTAGCCATTAGGGAAATGCAAATCAAAACGACCCTGAGATTTCACCTTACACCCATCAGAATGGCCAATTTGAAAAACTCAAGTGACAACACATGCTGGAGAGGTTGTGGAGAAAGGGGAACCCTCCTCCACTGCTGGTGGGAATGTAAACTGGTACAACCACTTTGGAAGTCAATCTGGCGCTTACTCAGACAATTAGGAATAACGCTTCCTCAAGACCCAGCTATACCACTGCTAGGTATATACCCAAAAGAGGCTCAAGTACAAAACAAGGACATTTGCTCAACCATGTTTTTAGCAGCTTTGTTTGTAATAGCCAGAACCTGGAAACAATCCAGATGTCCATCAACGGAGGAATGGATACAGAAATTGTGGTATTTTTACACAATGGAATACTACTCAGCAATCAAAAAGGAGGAAATCATGAAATTTGCAGGCAAATGGTGGGATCTAGAAAAGATCATTCTGAGTGAAGTTTCCCAGAAGGAGAAAGACAAACATGGTATATACTCGCTTATATAGACCTACAAGATATGATAAACATAATGAAGTCTATACAACTAAAGAAGATAAACAAGAAAGCAGACACGAGGTAAGATAATCAATCCTCACTTAGAAAGACAAGTGAGATGTGCATTGGACGTATGACAGGAGTCTACCGCAGAAGGCATCTGAAAGATCCTACCAAGCAGCGTTTCAAAACAGATACTAAGACTCATAACCAAACCTTCGGCAGAAGGGGAGTTAGTATGACAGGGAAAGGATAGGAGCCCCACAAGGACCAAATATATCTGGGCACAGGGGTTTTTTTTTTTGTTTGTTTGTTTGTTTTTTGTTGTTGTTTGTTTTTTTTCTGAAACTGTTGCTCCAACCAAGGACCATGTATGGATATAACCTAGAACCTTTGTTTGGACAAAGCTCGTAGTAGCTCAATAACCAATTGGTTTCCCATAGTGAGGGGAACAAGGACTATCTCTGACAGGAACTCAATGACAGACTCTTTGACCTCCTCACCCCCCAAGGGAGGAGCAGTCCTGCTAGGCCACAGAGGAGGACGTTGCAGCCAGCCCTGAAGATACTTGATAAAACAGGGTCTAATGAAAGGGGAGGAGGTCCTCCCCAATCCGTGGACTTGGAAAGGGGCAGGGAGAAGCTGAGGGAAGGAGGGTGGGACTGGGAGGAAATAAGGGAGCGGGATACAGCTGGGATACAGAATTAATAAAATGTAACTAATAATAATAAATAATAAAAAAACACATTTTTAGTTTTTATTAGCACATAATAATTATATATATATATATTTATGGTATGTATCTTGACATATCAATACATGTATATATTATGTGTAGGGATAAAATTAGAGCAATTAATATTTCTGTATCTTCATTATTATTTCGAGTCTGAAGCATTTGGGCTCCTCACAATCTTCTCGTTACCCATAGACTCCACACTAATTTACTTGTATGAACTACTTCTGTGTTTGTGAAGAGCTTTCTCTGATAAAACAATTAAATGAGCTCCTCTCTTCTTTAACATATTTCTACCCCTAGCTTGCACCCGTTTCGTCTTCCTAGATAATCTCTCATCATCTGAATTGCATCATGCATTGCTTACTGGTGATATATTTTCTACATGAGCTCCATACTATAAGCTCTATGCAGGCAAAATGTTCATGATGTCCATTACCCCATCTCTTTAAAAGGTCTCCACTGTGTGGCTGTGATCACTAACACTTGAAACACAAATCAGCAGATGTCCTTTTTACATCAACAAAACATGATCAACATAATTTTTTAATTGTGAATATCCGTAAGGGTAGGGTGGTTTTTCTAACTTGAATTTTGTGCTTTCTGTACAGGCAACGTCATGATTGTTAGACGCTACGCCATTTCTCCATCAGTTCACTCATATGCAGCAAATGACCCCTGGAAAGCAAGCAATAGACTTTCCAATGATGGAACGGCATTGGCATGGTCTTCAACTAGAAAGCAAGACAATGAAGAAAAGATGTTAGCCGCAGACGCTTACAGCATCAACAGCTCCAGCCAGAAAGCTCCTTCTGATCACAGTTTTGTTTACAGGTAACGCTCACTGTGCCTCTGGTTAATTTACAGGCCCCTACTGAGAGGTCACGGAGCATCCTTCTAAACAAGCCAGGATGTATTCATTGGAGAAAACAAAACCAAAAAGTACAAATAATGTCCACCCCTGTTGATGTCCATGTAGGGAATCAAAAGAACTGATTTTAATGAGGTCAAACGGTGCCTTCCAGCAGATGTCTTTAATGAGCAGGAAACTTGGGCTCTATTTCTTCCTCAAACATTGATCATGCTCTGAACCAGGAACTAACAACACAAGACTCAGCACAATAAGCATTAGGTGAGGAAGAGACATGGCAAACTGACCACTAAGCAGTAGGTGTCAAGGAGAACAACAGCTTCTTTAAGAGCTAAACACACAATTCCTTTCTGAGAGAGAAAGCTTCTCATGAAGGCAAATGTCTTCAAGGGATTTGAGGGAAGATTACTATAATGAAGGCTGTGGAAACTAATAGATGGAAGTTAGCTGGAGGAAGTGAGTCACTGAGGTCACTTCCTAGTCTCTTCCTGTAAAGGCTCTGTGATCTGTCTGCTGTGATGTAAACAGCTGTACCCTGCCATGCACACTGCCACCAAGATGTTCTGACCATGTAAACCTATAAACTGAGAATGTGGACACTGCAAGGTCTGGCTGAGAGAACAGTTTTTAGTGTGGATATTGTAATACCCAGTTCACAAGTCCCCAAATGACCAACAGGATTTGAGTCCAATGCAAAACACACAAGGGTCTTTCACTACAAGCTTGAGCTGGGTGGCTGCCCTTTACAAAGACAAAGGGGCAAGCGACCCCCAACTCTGGGAGAACAAGGTTTGTAAAGGGACAAAACACAAGCGGGGAAGTGCAAGCTTTGGCATTATAAGACTGGGTAAGAGGGTCTCTAGGGGAGCTGACCTCTTAAAATGATTGGTCTATTTTTAGGTGCCAAGACTGCAAACGGTCAGGCCTGGCTACTTGAGGGACACCTGACCTCTAGTACTGCCCAGTTACTTGCAGGTTAGGCTGTATCAAGGGGGAGGGGAGGTTAGCTCATTCCATCTGCTTTCTTAGGGGCTATGTGACTCCAGTCACACCCTAAGCTTTATCTGGGTAGGCGACTGCTGCTGGACCTCTGCTCTGAAAGGACTGTGATCTGCTGATTTTGCTCCAGGAATTAACTCTAAGTTTTTGAACCTCTCAGATATGAGGAAGGGTACAGCCTAAGGCACCTGGAGGAGTAAGAGCCGAAAGAGAAAATATTAGATTGAACATGGCCAGTAGACTAGACCAGGCCATGTTAGAAGAGAGGGGGCAGAGCAGGAGAGGAAGACAGAGACGACCAAGAGAGAGGCGACCAAGAAAAGAAGGCAAAAAAGTGGTGTGTATGCCTGACATAGTATAAGGAAATGAGAAGCTGAAGGGGGGGAAGCCTCTGAGCTGTATAAGTTTAGGGTAGGGAACAGGGTGAGAAGAGCTGAAAAAAGCCAGCGCAGGTACTTGTGGTACTGAGAAAGCCTGAAGGCCAGCATGTGCTTTGGTATTCTAACAGGCCCAACAGATAGCCCTTTGTCCCTCCTGACAGTGAAAACAATATGGCTCCTTTGGTAAACGGGAAAGAGGCACTAGGATTTGGAGAGTAGAGTTTTCTTTGAACCTGACAGTAAAGATGTTAGGTAAAAACCAACACTGGGCAAGAAACTATGGACTTGGATCCTCTGATACTGTGAACCGAAATGTATTTATTTCACTCCCTTAAGCTGTTTCTGTTAGGTGTTTGGGCCTTCTCTACAAAAAGTAACTAATAGGAGTTACAGAAGCCTGAGAAGCTTCCCGTCTTGAAGTTGAGATACAGGCAGCCCCCACTGCATGGGTAGGGTTAAGCTAAGACTGTCTGTTATAAACACTGCCAGGGGTGGGCCTGAATAGCTCAATTAATAAGGCTCCTGAGCCTGAATCTGAAAGTCTAGGGCTCAGTTCCCCGCTACATTTCCAGGCAGCCCCTGTTAGTTTAAGAGTGGCTCAGACTGTGGCTCAGAATTCAAACAAGAGGCTACAATGCAGGAATGTGGCTTCTCCACCCACCCACCCACTCCCACCTCCCCACCCACTCACCCCACACACACTTCTATCCTGCCCCAGTAAAGCTCCGACTCTGGCAACGTCTCCACACATCTGTCTTGCATGAGTCACGTAGAAAAATAAGAAAAGGGAGTGTGGGTTTCATGATTGGCTTATCACAGGGAAGAAAAGGGGGAAAATAGGATTGTTGAGAGAATATATGAGTCATCGCATTTAGTGGTGGCAGGAAATCAAATCAAGAAATAACCACAGGCCTGCAAGAATTCTTCTAAATATTGGAAAGAGGACAGATTTCCCACTGGGTGAGGGACACAGAGGCCATGGCACTTCGATTAGGATTTCAAAAGACAGAATGAAAATTTGTGTCACTTGTACAAAGTTCCTCTATAACAGAGAGTTATCCTGAGTCATAAAGATGGTTGGATTTGGTCAGACAAAGAAAAGTGGAAAAATTCTATATATCCCATGGGGGGGGGGAGACATTAAAGACTAAGATACCCCAACTTAGGGAGGAGCTGCAGGAGTGGGAAAAGAAAATTAAAATGGAGAGCCAACAGGATCCATCATAGAAGGTCTTTAGCTACATAATAATATCACCTTGTCCCCACAATTATTGGAAATCTAGTTTCGAAGAATATCTTGAAAGTTTTCAAGATACAGAGACTTAGTGATATTATAAACACCAGTGTATTCATCCATAAGTCTTTTGTAAGGGGAAGGTCTTTTGTGTCTGTCCCCATTCCTCTCTAGGAGTAAATGTCATCATGAATTGTGTTTTGATGCTTTCCATCTCCGCCTCTTTACTTCTACTACACGCATCCAGTGAAAGTATCCTGAGGGCAGGATTCTGGGCCCTACGATACAGCAAGAAACTACTGCCAAAATCTCTTTCTGTGTATGTGTTTCTTCAGACATGATAATCAATGATTAAAAAAAATGCATGAAGTATATGTTATGTTAGCTACTACAGAGGAAAATAACACAATTAAAAAAAACTGAAGGGTTAGAGGAGTTGTTAAAGTGCTTGGTGCTACAGAGGAAACCTGGGAAGGGAGAAAGGAGGCAAAAGAAGGAGAAAGAGGGTAAGCTCAAAGTGTCTGAGAGGGCACCCCCCCATGAGTGTTGAGAATAGCTAAATGCAGAAGTCCCAGTTAGGGGGATCAAAACGGGGTGACTTCAAGGAGAGCAAGCCACAAGGAAGAAACTGAGCAGGGTCTGTTGGCCACATTCAAGGTATCCAAGGACTCTCTTGCTTAATATGCTCTCTTTATTTTCCTTTCTTTCTTTCTTTTTGTAGTGATTATGCAGGAAGCCCTATTGTGAAAAGGCTGCAAGAGAATAGCAAAAATAAGGAGACCAGGCTTTTGACTATAAAGTAATCTAGGCAAAGGATGATTACTTCCGGGACAAGAACAGTCACAGTGGATGTGGTTTCTAGGTACATCTCATGGTTGAAGACAGGAGAGTTTATTAACAGGTCAGACATGGGATATGAAAACAGGAAATACACACATCATAACAGTTGAATTGCTGTAGTCATGTATCTTAGAGAAGAAGAAGGAAAGATAGAGACAGTCTATTTGGTCTATTTGGTCTATTGGGATTTTTTTAAATAATACAAATAAACTTACACCGTATAACATATGTAGTGTATGCAAACACACGGATATATACATATGTATATCAGCTGGAGCGTTTACAAAATTAGATGACTACTATTCATTGTAAGAAAAATGACAAAAGGTGAAAGCATACAACTTGCACATTATTCAATATACTCATAAATTTAAAAATATATACTTCTAATGGTACAAAGTATATTGAATAGTTTGGAGTCTACAAAAGAAAAATTCATTATCTTACTTCCTGAGTGAGTGCTTTTTAGATTTTGATGGCTATCTTGTGTCTATATATTTTGAAATTGGATAATGACTGTTACAATATTTAAATTTTGCAGTTAATAAGACCCACAGGGCTGAGAATTAGAGCACTACTAGCTTTCCCACTTCAATTTATATTGGTTTTGGGGTTTTCTTGTTTTGTTTTGTTTTGTTTTGTTTTGTTTTGTTTTGTGACGTGACACCTTGGGGAACTAGCCAATGTTTACAAAGTATTGTTTTTTTGAACCAAAATGTTTTTCAGCTTCCAAGCTGCCAGCTAATAAACTCTGTAAAACAGAATCCAGTTCAAATTTAGAAGTTAGTTAAATTTGAAAGATTGAACCAAGTGCAGCATTGCATTAAAAGAAGAAAAATCCATGTTGGATTAAAACCAAAATCTGGATTGGCACAGAAATTTGCTAGTGACAGAGAATGACTTACTAGGAATTTTTTTATTTTATTATAGTCTTTTTCCACTCTCATACACTCAGGAATTAACTGGTTAATGACATGTCATTATTCTGATGTGGAAGGTTCACTTGCCTCCTCCAAACTTTCAGAGTTCTACAAAGATACATGAAGAACCCAATTCTTTTTCGTAGATGTATTTTGAATCATATCAGAGATTAAGCCTAATTTGGTAGAGATATTTCCTATTATTATGATATGAAATCAGTCCTGCTTCAGAACAATGCTTCTATCAATGTTTCTAAGAACCTAAAAACTTTCCAAAAACTAAGGCTAAGGTTTTATTTTTAGGTTGACTTTTATAAGGAAACCAATTTTTTCTTCCTGTGTTTCAATAATAGATAATTTCATGATGTTAATAAAATTAAGAAAATAGGTCTAGGTAGACAATGAAAAGCAAAAATAAAGATGTTGTTTTATTGAATTTACTGATTGGAGAGCTAGCAACTTATCTCAGTGGGCAAAGGTATTTACTTTCAAACTTGATGATCTGAGTTCCACCCCAAGACTCACAAGGTTGAAGGAGAGCACAAAGTCTCACAAGTTGTTCTTTGACCTCCACATGTGTCCCATGGCACACACAGGCACACATATGTACACACAGATACAAACACACATACTAAATAAGTGTAATAATTTTTTCCTTAAAGTTGTTGATTAGAAAAAAAAAAAACAGACCTATTCTAATAAAAGTGTTCTGTACTTTTCCACTTCAGTGTGCCTTTGGAATGAGATGGCTAAAACCCTAGCCCCATCACTTTCAAATAAAGTGTTCTTGGAAAGAGTTATTAATGTGTCATTTGCCACAATCTCTTCTTTGGTGCAATGGGAGTCATTATAGCAGTTACCTCACAGTGTTTGTGGAGCACAGGGAAATAGCTGAGTGAGTGGGTCATTAGCTGGCAGAGCTTGATACTATGTTATCGATCCGAACACATGGAAGCACTGGTCCACCTTCTTCCCGAGGGAAGGTGCGGCTGTGTTCTGAGATGCTGGCCACGGAATGCCGTTCTGTGTAGCTACAGCCTTATCTGCCACAGAGGAAAGCAGCAGTTAGGAAAGGGCGATCATTACAAACACTGCTCTCTAGACTGAGTCTTACGAGCCATTCCTCCTGGGAAAGGTGGGAAACCCACATAAAACTTCAGAGGTAAAAGGAGAAATGAGCTAAAGGGAGGGATCCAGTCCCTCACATGACAACAGCTGTTGCTCTTTCTCCTTATCCCTGCTGTGATTAACATAAAATGGATGTTTCGAGGCAGACACCTCTGGAGTTTAATATGGGCTTCCATAGTTAAATACATCTGACATATTTAAACTATTGAGTTGTAAGACTCTGCCTAAGACAGCACAATATTCACCTGACGTCTTAACGTCTTTATCAGCACTATACAGGAGGCTTAATTAAAAAGGCACTTCCAATATACAGTCTCACATTATCATTAAGCAACTAAGAAAATAATTATTATGATACATGAACTTTTACCACTGTGGGCAGTATTCACTGACTGACAAAAAAAGGAAGAAAATGTTATATATCAAGATTCACTAACACGTCTTCCCCCCCCCTTAATTTGTTCCATGTAGGGAGAAGACAAAAACAGTCAGTTTCCAGTTACCCGGGGATGGGTCATCAGTTCCCAAAAATTCAAATTCTTTGAAGCACTCAGCAAATCAGACCACAAACCAGCTAAGCATCATCGCAGAAAAGGATGTGTGAAACGAGTAGGTTCCCAGGAGACGGGCACAGCAAGACCTGTGTCAGTCATCTCCCCAGGGAAGGACTCTGCCAAGATGTCCAGTAAGACACACAGTATGTCGGTATCCCATTGCTGGACTCACTGGCCAAGAAGTGGGGGTGAGCATGTTGTCTTGCTGCTGAATTTGAAGGGCAGGTGTGTGCCCAAACGTTTCGCATGTGACACGAGAACTTACACGTGCTAAGTGTGCAGCGCTGTACCGTGTAGCCATCTGCAAACACTACCGGGTCACTTTCCAAATGAGGTCACAGCAAACCTAAAAGAAAAAAAAAAAAAAACCTGTTATGGTTAAGCAGTAGTTCTCAACATGTGGCCGTGACACCTTTGTCAATCCTCTGTCTCCAAAAATATTTACATTATGATTCATAACAGTAGCAAAAGTTTAGTTATGGAGCAGCAACGAAAAGAACTTTTATGGTCGGGGGTCACCACAACACGAGGAACTGCATTAAAGGGCCACAGCATTTAGCATTGCAAAAGTTGGGAACCATTAGGCTAATAGCATAGACAATCGTGGCAATCCTTATAGCTCATACTGTATTGATAGCTCATCGTTACTAACTGGTTTGCTCTGGAGGAGTCAACGTCACTGGAATGTGAGTGCAAGCAAATCCGTTGCATGTGCTTTGGACTCAGACTGCCATGCACAAAGTGACCACAGCTGATTAGGAGAGAGAAGAAACTCAAATCATTATCACTCAAGGGTCTGAAACTCTCAGAATACCCCCCCACAGAAGCCCTAAGCTTTCAGTACATAGACTCTCTCCCACTCCTGTTTATAATAACTTTATAAAACTTGTGTCGTTTTCAAACTGAGATTTGGTTTTATAATTAACAGTGTTAAAATACAGATCCATAGGCCCTTACTCGGATCTACTGGGTAGGTAGAAACTAGGAAGGAGCCTGGAAGTTTCTGTTTTAAGTAAGCGTTCCAAGGTGGTTTCTGTTATATAGCTATGCTTGTCATGCGCTATTATAAACACCTAAAAAAAGAAAGGCCCAGGACTCTCCAATTCCAGCCCCACATTGAAGGAGAAGCAATAGCAAGGCAGAGGTAGGAGGGATCCATGCTGACCCTATGAAGAGGTTTTTAACAGTCACAGACAGACTGCTGCAAGAAGACCAGGCCACCAAAACCTGCAGTGAAAGTAACATAATAGCATCAGCTGTTTCTTTTATCACTTTCATTCAAGATTAACAATATTCTCCACCACATGGCAGACCGGAGAGCAGAGCAGGGCTACAATCTGAGGGAAAAAGACATAGAGGAGATATAAAAACACATTCACCAAGAAATTAAGACACACTGAGTAGAAACTCCGCTGTTAGCCGTGAAGTGCCATACTTGTTTGTGCACAGCTTTGTTCCGAGCAGCCTTAGAGTTTCATACTTACACTCTTTTGTCTTTTTTTTTTTTTCAAGAGTAGAAAACATTGCTCAAACTCAGGGCTTTTTAAAAGTAACACACAAAACTGACATTATGTCCTAATTAGAAAAATTACAATGACTAATTATCCCTAATGACAAACTCAATGACTAACTGTGTGGCTGGCATTTTGTTTATATTCATTGCCCTAAACAGAAGTGGCAAGTATATGAGTCTAATATTGCTCATCAGAAACAAGCAAGGAAACAAACAAAAACAACAACAAAACCCATTCAGTATCAAAATCTAAACTTTGAAATTAAACCCTCTGTTCCCTGAGGATTTATCTGTACCTATTGCTAGAGTACTAGATATTAAGACTTCTGAGACTGTTTTTAGATATAATGAGTGACAAGTAATGTAGACTAAATTTCAGCCACATTCTAACAGGTGAATTATATTGCAGTTCTTAGGTACCGCACTTCCAGTGGGCTGCGTGTAAGTCAGAAAACTCAAGTGCCTACCAAGGACAGACAAGTACAGAGATGAGTGAGGACTCCAGGGCAGACCCTCAGGTGCCCAACCCAAAGGAAGCATGGTCACCTTTGTTACACAACATTTGGCCTCCACAGTCAAGGGGTGTTGAAATCTAGGTACTTACGCACAATCTCCCATTCATAAATATTGACATATTCACTTTTTTTTTAGCTCTGTGAAAGTCAGACACAGCCTATGTAGGACCCATATCTAAGCTTTAGAAGGCCAGATTTCAATCTCTGACTTAAACATCATTTCCCAAGCATAGATTAAAAAAAAAAAAAAAAAAACAGTGGATCAAGAAAGCTATCTTTAGAGGATGCCAAGAGGATAAGGAAGTTTGGGGTTGAGAAAAAGTTGGGTGGGAGGAGAAATAAAATCTTCTCGGGCAGTAAAGCTGAAGCTTTGTGCCATCATACTCTAACTCAGCGCCAAATGTATTTGGTGAGAACACGTGAGCAGATTTTGTTTAAAAACTGTTTCTGAGCCAGAAATGTGGGTTGGTTGGTAAAGGTAACATGCAGAGGCCAAAGATTTCAGAACCACATAGAACTGGAAGTGAGAGCACTCACCTGTCATCCCAGAACTCAGGAGAGGCAGCTACATCAGAAGTTCAAGGACATCCTGGGCCAAGAGATGCTGTCTGGAATAAAAAATACGTATACTACTGGTCTTTCTCAAGAAGGAAAGATGATTGACAGGAACACACCCAGATGTGTTCCGCTTTCATCAAATGCTGGCGGACAGGAATGTGTTAGGAGTGCTTCACCTGTGGTATAGATCTAGACCTCGCCTAGGGCCACAGTGCTAGGCTGTGCATAAAGAGCAAAGAACATTCCCTGAAGACTTCTCTCTCAAAGTAGTTTAGCTTCAGACAAAGGGAAGAATATGTTGAAGGTCAGTTAGGATAGTCAAACACACTCTACACAAGGCTCTCTTCCACTAACTGCTAACAGCTTCAGTCATGTTCCTTCCTGTGGAGACTGACTCTTGAGGCCTGAACAATAGTTAACTTAAGCAATCTGCATTCATTTGGTCTGTGTTTGAAAACACATATAGCTAGGGAACACCCTTCTACATGCAGGAATAAAAAGCAGTTAAACCTTTTTCTATGTCTCTATCATTAATGCCACCGATACTCAAAGTAGTCCGTGACTACTGCAGTCTTTTCTAAAAGGAGGGAGAAGAAAAACTGTGTTTGCTAGGTGTCATGTTTTTGCTTAATGATTTGAAATCCTAAAGCCACCTGGAAATTTTTAACTTGTAACACCATTCACCTTGAGTTCAAAGAAAGAGTAAACTTTCTGTGGTTCAGGATTTACCAGGATTTTCTAAAAGGTGATTCCCTTCGGAAGTCGGGTTTCCACTCAAATCTTCTATTGTACCCTTTCTTCCTCTTTTTGATTATTTCAAAATTATTTTTACTTAAATCTTCTCAGAATTGTATACGTGAGTACTGTATTTACATCATTTCCACCTCTCCCTCATCCCCTTCCAATTTCTCTCGTGTCTTTTCTACTCCCCGTCAAATTACTAACCTATTCTTTATGTCTGTTGCACACACACACACACACACACACACACACACAGCCATCTACTTGGTCCTCATTGTGAAACCCATGTAGACACTCATCTTTGTCTTACCATCACAAGAAACACAGCAACCCTCTTGTTCAAGTACCAAAGGTCAGTCTCATTTTCACTCATTCACGTCTAAACATATTTCATCCCAGGACCCTCACCTTTCCTCTTCTCCCTCATCCTGAGGATGCTCAGTTCAGGCACGGTTGCTACGGACTAAGAATTCTGAGAAACAGGGGAACAACCAAGTCTTTCCACATAGATGAAAGACACTGAGTCTCTCCACAGAGACACTGGTCTCTGACACACGCTTGCTTTTTGAAATAACATTTTTGCCCAATGTTTTGGTTTATTTTTCTGCTGCTATGATAAAATATCCTGATAAAAGCAATTTGGGGGATGGATGTTTAATCTGGCTCATGTTTCTCAAGAGGACAGTCCTGCATGGCCAGGAACCCAAAGTAAAGAAAGGCTTGAAACAGATGGTCACATTGCATCTGAGAGAAAGAATAAGGGATGCATGTGCTCACTTCTCTTCTTTTTTATTCAGTCCAGGACCCTAAACTCCGTGAATGGCATTGCTCAGTTTTAGCCTGGGCCTTCCCATCTCAATTAACCCAAGTAAGATAACCCCTCCCAGGCAAGTCTTTCGGGAGAGCCTCTCTCCCAGGTAATTTTTGATTCTGGGAAGTTGACAGTTAACAGTAGCCATCCTATTTTATTAACCCTGTTCTCTACTGTAATAAGAGATTCAGGACTGAGGGTTAAGTGAACAAGTGGACAGCTCAGGAGGGAAAGCATTCTCTGTTCCCATTACTATACCATTTAACACAGTAGAAAAGTAATCTGTTAAATGGCAGTAGTTAGGTGGGTATCCATTAAGTAGGCCAATTGATGCCTTTCTAATTCTATTATAGCAGCTATTTGGTGAATGACTTTATATCATCTACTCAAACTACAGGATTATTTCTTTTTCATCTCTGTCATAACCTTTGCTTATAGTTGCATCTGAACTGATCCTAGAGCAGCCTGTTGTTTTATCATTGTATGAATTTTTCCTTCTTGAAACAGGAACTGCCCCTGGCATGACTCTGTCCTGTTCTAAACCACTCATTTGAGTGGTCGTCCCAAATACTTGCTCCATGTTCTTCCCAGTTGCCTTCCTTGTACTTTTAGGGTTATAATGAAGCTTGGTCTCTACTCCAGAAACTCAGCATTGAAAGCTACTCTTGCAGAAGCTATTCCAAGAAAAGTAACATTCTAAAAGTTGGAGCTAAGATGAGAAGGCCTCAATACTCCCAGAATCTGCATGTAACCAAGTGGCTTCCAATCCTGGGCTCAGCACACTATCAAGTGAACCAGGACACACTTGGAAGCCTCACTGCCCAAGCCACACCTGCTCAGGGTTAAGGTCAGCCTCTCTAGAAGGGGACCTTGGCTTTCAAATATTTGCCTCCTCTCTACTAATTCCTGACA